TGCAGCGTTTGAAGGCGTCCAAGGCGCGCGGGGCTTTCAGACGCAGGTTGATCAGCACACATCATTCAGTTTCGGCGTCTCTTGAGGAGTTTGTGGTGGCCTTGCAGCCAGCGATTCTTGCGTGTGGGTCTCTTAGATTTGGTGGTGTGCTGGCAGGACAACGGCGGCTTGAAGCCGTCAGAGGGCGTGACTTAGCTTCAAGATCGAATCAGAGAGTCACGACCCATGGTGGCCATTGTGCCTAAAGCCACCTCCCCGACCACTGGCGGAATAACTTCTTCAGCGATCTGCAGTTGGGGAATAGTGAGAGGCAACCCACAGGTCCTGGTGTCGATTTCGGGAAGCCGTCTTTCCTTGAAGCCTCAACACCCCAAAAGTCAGCTGTGCTCACAGAGTAGACGAAAATATCATGTTCATGTGCGGGGAGTGCACGAACGAAGATCGTTTGGAACATGGCGAGAGCCCGAGCTCAAGTTCACAGAAAGCGCGCACAACACCAGAAGATTGGGACGTAGAGCTCGGAGGTCTCCGAACAGCATCGGTAGCCTCAGAAGATGTGAGCCGCTTCGGGCGGCGCACTTTGAGGACACCGTCATGCTGCGAGCCTCGGACGGAGCTGCTGGAGCTTCAGTGCCCGTGCCGCAAAGCATTATGCTGCTCTAGGCCATGATGGGGGGAAGTAGAAACCCGACGATAGATCCATGGAAGCCCCGTAGTCTGTTTTCAATTTGGGTAGCAGTTGGAGTGTCGCCTATTGCAGTCTGCGATGACAGTATTCTGTAGACACGTGGTCCGACCCATCGCGCCGAAGAGAGAGTGTCGTCTCTTCTTGTTGCTGGTGGCACATCTTGAATCACACCTTGGTCTACGGCGAATGGCTCTAGCACTGTCGCTGGCTGGACGGCATTTGCTGCAGTCCTTCCTGCGACTTCCGGGAAGCATCGCAGCCAGGTCACAAGCTTCGTCCGGGACGAGCTCATGAACTGCATCAAATGACATGGAGGCCATCTAGATTAAAGTGGCCACCATCCTTTGCGTGTAGCAAAATCCGAGTAAGCGACTGCAAGGTGCGACTGCAAAGATAGGATAGGTGTTGCTCGAAGTTAAGGTTTGCCTCTACGATAGAATTCAGCTCAATGAGGCCGTTGTGATGATGTAGAATGTAGAAGTCTGCTTTACAGTGATACATGTCATAACGTAGAATGGAAGACGCCGCGTACTGGGCCTTTTGTCGACTTATAGGTCACGGAACCGCGGGGTGCTTTATCATGATCAGATTTGACATCTGCAGATGCCTGCAGCGCATTACAATATCACACTGAATCTTGAACGCCGGACCCAGAAATTCGAAACACCGGAATCTTACACCCTGCTCTCTCTACAAGTGAATTACTTGGACATTGCCGCGATTGTCGGATGTATGCATGGCATGCATGAGGCTGACACACATCTGTGTATCCAGGAGCCATCCATCACAAGTGGTTCTGCGTGATGCTACCATATCTTGCTGAAGCAGGCTGTCCCCACATGTCGGAGCTCACGAGTTCATCCAGCCGAGCAAGTGAGCATCCGGTAATTAGCCCATCTCTTTTCAAAACAGGAGACCCGAGTGAGCGTGATTGCTGGGTCATGTAGCATCAAGCAGCCGCATGAGGTTGTTGACAGATGTTGACAGCACCAAACACGAGCCAGCATTCAATGCGAGTTGATTCGAAGACAGCGGAGAACGACTTTCACCCTGCACAAGGCCGTAAGTTGGCCGCAGTGCAGGCGACCGAGTGAGTAATAGGACCGGGATCAGGATTCAACCGTTGCGGAACCGAAAGTAGTAGACCTGCTGCGCAGACCGCTTTGAACAACCATGAGGCTAATCGGCTGTTCCCGGCATTTTGGCCACACTATGGCCAGCTGTAACGTAACCAATCCGAGTGTTTCACCCAGACTTTCCGGCACGCGTTGCGGAGAATTGAAGCTTTCTTGCTTTAGGCGCAGAGTTAGCTTGCCGATACTGAACATGTTCCAATGTTGTTGATTGTTGTTGTAGATCTGCGCTGGTTTAGGTTTTATGGACCCGCCTGCTGTTAACGGGGAGTGTCGGTGTTTTCTGCCTCTGGGTTGACACATCAATGAGCCTTGCCGGGCATCTTGAAGCCACAGCTTACATGCGCGGAGAACGCGCATTCTCGTATTGGAGTGCTGCGAGCGGCTCATACAGTCAGCCGGGCACAAGGCCGTCCCACAACGATGGAGGCACCTGGTCGCTGGACTCGCTAGACTATATAGACAGAGAGGTCTTGGGTGGACAGGGGCTAGAAGCTGTCAGAGCGCAGTCCTTGGTGGCCGTGGCGTTGTGGTTTCTCGAAGCGTTCCCATGACCCGCTAGTCACCTCGCAACGTTTTCGGGTGCCTGTCTTGCTGGGCCGGGCCGGGGGTAGGCGGGGGGGGGGGGGGGGCTCGTTGAATCTTATTACAAGGCACTCGTGCCTGCCTTTCACAGAGAACTCCTCGGGGTCAGGTGAAGATCTTGCAAGCTGATGGACTGCCGCAGGTGCCATGACTGGTTGATATATTGTGGCTTGCCGGGCTCGGGAGGCACATCTACGTGCAGGCGACATAGAGCAGCGCTCGAGTGGTTGGTGACTCCAGCTTTTGAAGGACAGCACGTATACATACGTATACCGTATCAGGCTGTTCAGGCGAATAAGGGTCAAATGGGCAGAGAAGAAATGTAGGACTTGCGAGAGACCGAACGCTTATGTGTTGAAGAACTGAGGATGGGCTGATCGCATTCAAGGCTCTCGGCATTGTTGGTAAAGCAGCGGCTCCGTACAGAATGTACTCGCAGCTGCTGAAACATAGTTTCCTGTACACATCAGGGTGGGACTTCAGTTTGTCTGCTCCTGATTTGAACTGTCCTTCACGCTTTTCCGGCTGTTCGTCGCGAGATGGGGGCGCTTAGCCGCGAGATGAGGGCATGCCTTGTGATGTCCAGTCTGTGCCGTTGAAGCATGTGCGACCACGCTCTACCACTGTCTCTCTCTCTTCCCCTGCCCTGTGCATACACTTGTAATTGCTCACTCGGGGTCGGGAGTTTTTGAGTTGACCACCAGTGTCTGATCCATGTGGCCTTCCGCCAGTGATATTTCTGTGTGGCTCGCTCCTTCTCTCTCTCTCTCTCGCTATGTCCTGAGATCCTCTCGCTCTCTCTTTGTCTCTGTCTTTCTCACTCGCTCACTCACGCACTCACTCTTTCACTCTCTCTCGTGGCATATGGGCACCTCGCACCGAGTTTTAGTTGGCCCTACTGTGGCTTCCCGATGCGTCGCAGGTGGGCTCAG